AAATGGTATAATATCATCAAAGGCTGTTACACCGAAGTCGATTAACAGGAAGTAATGAATGACGGAGGCACTGCTGAAAACTATTCTTTATTACACTGTTTCTAAATTGAGATGGTTGAGATTTCCAGCTCAAGAAAATAGTTTTGCTGGAGTTACATTTTCTGAAGTAGATGGTGAATTCATGAAGTTTTCTCCCTAGACACCATCATCAGTAGCCCAATTCAGCTTTGTTCATATGAAAATGTTAGGATTATGGAGATACGAAGTACAAAATCTGAGAGAATCTTTTATACTTGACACTCGGGCAAATAAACAATTACTAAACGCACCGAGAGCGATTCAATTTACCGTCCGATTAGAAAAGTTATAAACAACCATAGGGTAGAAAGTAGAGTGGAATGGGAGGGCAATCAAAATGAATACTCTGACAACGAACAAGCATCAACAGTAATTAATTTAATTTAAAACGAGAGAACGAACTGTCAGTCATAGAAAGAGAAATTCGAATAGCTCACTTCTATATGAAGTGTGTGCTGATGATACTGTCTACAAAGACAATGAAAGCTATACGACTAAACTGACTAGATCAGGGAACGAATGTCCATCTAAATTTTTCTATATTATTAGCCATCGAAAGTGACTCCTCGTATTCTGAATTAATCAGATCATAATTAGTTATATTCATAGGACAGGTTTAGCATACACTAACCAGCGAATAGGCGGAAAATGCTAATGCTCACTATTCAACACCGAAATACTATTAGGTTCTAATTAACACTGAACACCCTGATCACATGGAATGACCTATTACCTACATATTAAATGAAGAACTAGATGTACAACTTAAAAGATTGCTATTTAAAGTAAAAGGGTACTGTTTGTCTATTCAATTAACACCATTATGGGGTTATGGAGAATGTTGGACCTTATTGAAAAGACGAGCATACGCTAGAAAACTACTGAAAACACTAAACATCTATTTCGTTTTTGTAATGAACTCCTCGGCAGTGTGTATTCATTACCCCGCTACCAGGGATTAAACCCATGACGTTTTGTCTCACACATGAACGCTTAACTTCTGGACTAGTAGACCATAATCCAATGATGTAAAGGTCTAAGTCCAACCAATCCACGATATTGAGCGGTTAACTTCCACTGTCTTCAATGAGTACCTTCCTCATACTCTACATAGTTGAACTCCACTGGTCACGGCTACTCATCAAAACATCTGGAATTTCTACTCAGAGCTACTCACCAATCAAAACAGTAGTATGAAGGTTAAGAGTTCGCGCGCCAGACCATAAGGTGAGTTCGATTCCTAACAGCATAGTCATGGATACGCAATTCTGAGGGAGTCCCTTACAAGAGCGAACCAGTTGTTTAGTACTTCCAGGTTTTCAGTAGTTGTCTGATTTAGATCGGTTAGTGTTCTGAATTATATTAAATTATCTTCGAAATTACTAACATATATGAGTAAAAAAACAAACCACGTATTACCTTTCGACAAAAGCACAAACACGTGACGAGATATAAATCGATATTCCAGATTCTACAGTTTGATAAATAATCGATCACAACACCCTTTAGTTTTAAAATCATACCACTCATCATTAATTTCGTATAACTATTATATTGTACTAATCTGCTTTTTTACGATCATATTCTTTTTTCGCAAATTATCCATACCTTATTACGAAACTGAATTTTGTAATCCAAGAAGATCACTTTTTATGTGATAATACTTATAATTAATAAATAGTATGAGTTATACTTTCAATCACTTCTTAGATAGTAAGGCATCTTAATGTGCTGTTTTTGACCTTGTCACGTTGTTTTCATGTTTAATTACTTTATGCGGTGTATTCTATATAGATGCTTTGTTTACAACGACTAATAAAAGTCTATTTTTAAAAACATTTGCTATTTGTTAGAATATATACTTAGTATAGAGTTATATGTGTTATTCTACTGTCTATTTCATATTTTGCATCGCTCCTGTGAAAAACACTAAATCATAAGTAGAATAATCTGTGATGGTGAATGTAATCTAACCTTTAAAAAAACCCAGCTGCTTAATGCCGACTTGCCAGTAGCAATTACTTCAGGTCAAAGGTGGCTAGCATTGATTATTCAATCGGCATTGTGGAACTAGCTTGCGTAACAGTTGACTTGTGCTTATTTAATGTGTTCTCTTAAATAAATCAAGAACACATGGTAGATTGGATACCGAGTTAAAATGAACTAGGCCAAATAGTTATTGTAAAATTTTGTGTTGATAAAAGAATATGTACGTTGCGTATTTATACGTCCCAGGTAAATCTAGCGGATTACATAGTAACTAATCTATATCTCACTTGTACAACTTCTCATCATGAAACATTTTCTAAGATTAATGACATTTAAACTCTAAGGCCATGAAACGAGAACTATTTATGGTGTACAGTTTATACATCAACGTCTTTATTACGTTAGAGATGTTTAAGTTTTCTTCAAAACTATTTCCTTACTAACTTTCTTTAGGTCTAAATTTCCTTTTTTCTCGCTCAAAAATTTAGCATGAATCAGATCATTTTTTCTTTGTTGAATATTCTTCTATTCTTGTGCATTATTACTAACGTAAAATGTTTTACACACAATTCATGCATATTTGAATCAATCTAATTTGGCTTCTCTAAATAAATCGTCTGAATGAAAATTTGTCTTTTGGATTAACCAGGATTATGAAAACAATAAGTGGCTTTCATATTTAGTATATAGTAATACAAGTTAGCAGAATTTACATTGTATTATTATACAATAACAAACGATTATAGTTTTTATATCGCGAAAATTGTACAGATAAAATCTCGAAAGAAATTGTGTTTAGCTGAAGTAACGTTACTAAACCGATCATTATTTGTTACATGTTTGTACTGGTCTAATAGAAACATTTAGTTGTTATTACATATTATTTCACTCGGTAACGTAAAGAATTCACTATTTATTATGGGATGCACAATATCATAAGTTTTTAACGAGACCAATGTAACCAATAACACAACATATCAAACCTTCAATCAATAATAACTCGCATGAACCCAATTTTAACTAGTTCAAGATTACAGAGAAGGTTAGACTCATAGATTAATGTGATAGTGATTAACTACTACTCCAATTTTAAATGCAATACACTAGAACATCATAAAGCAAGCCTCAACGTAGAATCTTCAATTTTAAAAGAAAACATACAAACCAGTGTTATATCTTGAAAAAGCTGTTTTTTCGATATACCGCGAATAACTGAGCACTAGAACACCAAAACCATTCCAAGTCGCAGTAAGAAGACAGAAGACTAACGAAAGGAATATTATTCCAAACAGTGTCAATTATAGTACAAAACTGTCAGGTATTTATAGTTTTTAGTGAGAACGAAATCATCATTACAGTCTTCCAATCCGCATACAGAGGGTTATTAGCATTATCCAATCGGGAATCTACACGTTGGAATTCTAGAACATTCTTTCGAAAGGTGATTGGATGGGACGTCTTCGGCTCCTTCTGAGCCTCTTACAGCTTCCTCGAGTTCACCGGTGGTCCGTCGTCACAACCAGAAAACACATAGCACCAGGAACTGGAAGTAGATATCAAAAGAATAATTAGTTATATGACAACAATTAAAAAAGAGAGTTCAGGACAAAGTTGTTTAGAGAATTTTAGTCAGCAACCTATACTCCATATTAATAAGTAACAGTTATTAGTAGATAATAATTAACTTTTTAAAAATTATCACCAAAAACAATCGAACAAAACACAAACACATTGCATTTTAAAAACAAACATACATTATTCAAACTACAAACAGCTTAACAATTAAAAATTACAACCTAATAAGACATTTCAATTATAGTCTATTAATATGAAGATAAATTTTTGTTGGAGTGATCCGGCAAATTTCTTGCAAAAGACAAGCAAGGATCAGGAAACACTAAGAAGCGTCTCATTCACTCAGCGTTCACTTGAAGTTTTAGCCAAAAATATCAAGGAAGTGAAACGTCACATGTAGAGGTTCTGATTAGTTGATTGTTATACTGCTACTATGTTTAGTAACATTCCAGAATGTTCGAGCAGCTCAAGGACATTTAAAAACCTTATATTTTCTGTGTTAAAATGAACCTTGGAGTAAAGTACTTCTCGCATACTTTGCGTCTTCTCTCTCGTGTTCAAGTCGCTGTATAGTTCTAGCTTGGGAGTTGCAGAATAGCTTAGGAAACGAATATAGCATTCAATTTGCAAGACTTATCAATTTTATTCATTATTAATTTTAACGGATAGAATTATTTTAACGAACATCTAATATAACGGAAATAATTCAAAATAAAACCAACTATGTAAGACAATAAAACCATTGGAAATGAATAAAAATCGGTTGCCCCCCTTTTTTTTCTCTTTTTTTCGTTGTTGTTGTTGTTGTTGACTAACTACACGTAATATCTAACTGATAATGAAGCGGTACTCTATGACTTTAATTATTTATTTTAAAATAATACTTGTTAATTGACATAATTAGTCAAACAAATATTTAAATAAATTAAATAAAGACATAGAGAACAACCATCTATATTGGATGGAATTATTGAGAAGGACAAAAGAAGAAAGAGATGCAAATATTGATCTACACGAACAAACAATTATACACATATAGGGGGAAACATGTATATACATATAGATATATACATATGTATGGAATTGTAAAATAAAACTATTATGGTAACAATGAGCAAATATATATCATTAACATCAATGATATATTTTGTTAGGTTTGAGCAAGTTCATAAAGAGGGGGAAAATGAAAATAAGGATAGAATAAAAATGTAGTTACATTACATAATAATAATAATAATAATAATAATAATAATAATAATAATAATAATAATAATAATAATAATAAACAATAGGAATAGTAAATGGCTCAGATCTACATAGTTTGTTTTGTTTTTCTTGTTCAATTATCTTTTTTTTGTCTATTTCGGATGTAAAGTGAATTCTCTATATTCATCAGATGCACTGGAATTTTTTCTACATTCTAAATCACTTAAATGTGATACACCGGATTCTGTTTGTTTTGAACCAATTGTTAATGATGATGATGGTGAACTTGGTGTTACAGAACCAGAATATGGTAATGCACTTTTTAAGATGATTATATTACTGTATTTAGTCTTGTTTTGTTCTTCTTGTTGTGATGTAGGTTGAGTTGATGACGACGGCAGAGGCGGTGGTGTTGTTGAAAGTGATTGTATGCGTTGTTGTTGATGATGTGTCGATTGATATTTTTGATGATGATGTATTAGTGAAGGATAACCGGATGTTATTGATCCACTAGTGGTACAAGATGAACCAGGTGTTGAAGTACAATAATGTCCATTGAAATTTATATGTTCTGCTAATAAACGTAAACTAGGATCTGTATGATTTGACAACATATCGATGAACTTGATAAGATTAGCCTGAAAAACAAAGGAAATACATCAAAATTCCTTAATAGAGAAGTAAGACAGGTGACTATGGACATAATTAACATAAATGTGTTAATTGAAAACACAGATTATCACTATAACAACATAAATTAATTAAAATATAACTCAATTGGAAAGTTATAAGTACTGACATATGTAAGTCGTTATTGACTAAACAGAGCTTGGAAAATAAGAACGTTAGCCTAAGTCGCCTTACCATATTAGCACAACGAGAGGAAATTAACAGGATAAATGGTGGATAGATCGACACAACGTAGTAGGAATGATAATGATTAGATTTTTCGATATGTATAACGAGAATAAATCACATTGTTCAAATCAACTCCATTGTCTCACTACACTATCAAGATTTATAAAGAAAACTAATGGACAATGTAAAAGACTGAGGACATTAAGAGTCTGGTTCAAAAGACAGGAAGAAAACGTGTACACGAACAATTAGGACAGGTTCAGATGTAGAGTAAGTCAATGAGTAAATGCATCTGTGCCATTGTGACTGATTTCAAATTATGTCATCCATCGTCTCCAACCAGTGGTTCCGGTCATCGTGTTAACTCTAACCCAGTAGCTTAAATCTATCAACATAGCTCAAACCAACAGTCACTGACTTAATAGACTTATACTATATCGTCGTCTGATAGCGTTTAGACATTTTTCAACCTCTTCTACATCACTAAACGTCACCTCTCGTAGTTAGAAATACTTATATACGAATAGTGAGATAGAAGCGTGGGAAGAAATAGGCAAGGATCAAAGAAATCAAGTATTGGTAAGAATAATTTAAAAGATGCAAAGATGAAGTATGTGAAGGTAGAGTATGAAATGGCATTGGAAATTTGAAGGATAATAAAACAAAAACTGAACGGACTAATGTTCTACTACTACCGATATATATATATATATATATATATATTCAATCATAAGTTAAGATTAGCATGTGAACCCACACACCAGAGGGACTGTTTATTACAACATAAACAGTCAACGAATCAAAACGACGGATACCATCTTTGATGTGTTTGTCTCTGGCTTTTTCCTAACCAACTATTAGTGACTAGGCAATCTTAACCAACTCAGTGGATGAGAAAACTTTTTACTCGTGAGACTCATTCGATATATGTAGTTTTAAAATAACTCTAGAAAACACCAGAAAAATCAACGTGTAATAAGACGAATTAGCCGATGATGGAAGAGTTAAAGTTGTGCAGCGTAATATACATATACAGATTAAAGGCGAGTAAAAGTGTGTATTTAAATTCAAAAATCTTAAAATAACCGTAACGTTTTGGATATCTTTGTTAAAAAAAATGTTTGATACATTTTTGGTGCTTTATTATGTTTGTGAAGTCAGAACATTGTGGTATGTATGATTCGTAAGGACTATCTAGGAAAATAAGACTTGAATAAATTGTAAGACTTACACGATATGCAGCAGCTTGAATACGAATTCGAGCTTGTAAATGAGCAAGTTTACTATCGACAAACTCTTTACGTCTATATGACTCTTGTTCTTCTCGTAATCGATCAGTACCCCAATGACCAGTCCGTTCAGCACGTTGTACCTATTTTTGATTGTTGAATAATGATAAAATATTTATAAAAATAAATATAATATCTATTGTTATCATTACTTAAATGTATAATTAATAAGTTGAAGGTTTTCGTATGAATTTGAGTTAACATTTCAATTAAATTCACTTAGTGAATAAATGAAGAGTGGACAGTACAAAACAGTTAGCCGTTTCGTTTACAGTCAGTCATCGTCAACGTAGGATTTGGCATGAATGTGTAATGTAGTCCAGGCAGTCAAACCTTACTTCAGCATGTAGAGAGAGATCAATATGGATTGGAATGAATATCTAATTATGGGATAACACACCAACTTATCATTCATAGGAACTATATAAAAAAGATCAAAGCAAGCAAATGTGCATTATGTTACGAAACATCTAAAACCGATGAATTCGATTATTGCAAGAGTGTCCACCTAAAGAAATCGCTGAGACACGAAACTTATAATTTCGTGGATTGAAGTTATGCTTTGATCAGCCTGCTTCTAACTGTTGTCCAAACTGTCTATTCTTTCTATGTTAGTCAACAATCCGCATACTATCAGTCGATGAAATTTTAAAGCCTTTTGACCTAGTACCCGATGTTTCATTTCAGAATTGTTCATTCGGTTGTTCAACTGTGAACAAATAGTGCATTCAAAAAACATATGGTCAAATCTCTTAGGAACTAATAAATCACCCAATATTTTATGATTGAGGTGATCTCAAGTGTCGTTAGAGGTGTGAGGGCGATTGCAACACTCCAGTTACCTAGACAGCTGGAAGATATTTCTTGTTGAGGGACATAAAGAGAATACTAGGTTTAGGGTGGTCTCCGCAAACAGGAAGAATGACCGCAGTGATCAGTGAACAGTTGTTTGATCCCAGTAATATGTAGTCTTTTTATGAGTAATTTTCGATATATTAGCTATGTATTTATAAGGTTTTATAATCATAGGTAAGATGGGATATACTATTTTTTAAGGTCGATGTTTTTCGACTCCCTCAATTTGCTGCAGGAACCAAAACGGCGTTACGACTTTGTGCTCGGACAATAAATTTAGGGTTCAACCATGTTGAATTATTAATTGTTCTCAAGTAAAAAGGTTAACAACTAATATAAGCACTAGTGCATAAAAATTAATACAAATTATTCAAACTAACCTCAGATGCATATTTTTCACGTATACCATTCTCATGCATGGCAGTTATATTAAAATCTTGATGTAACTGAGCATAATCTAAGATTGAATTAAATATCGCTCGTAATTGACCAAGAAGTTGACGTGACTCAGCATCTAATAGACATCTTGTAAATACATTTGATAAGAACGCTTGATGGGCTTTAATAACGTCACTTAAATCTTGAGCGGAATGAACTTGTTTGACAAGATTTTCCCAGGCACATTCTAAAACCTTAATTATATTCATTAAAACAAATATACAGTGTTATCGGTATATATATATAATAGAAATGTATAACATTAAAATAGCCAAGTGGTTTATGTTGTATTGTGGATTGGCGTTTTATTGATTGAAGAAGTTGACTTTCAACCAAAAAGGTTAGAGTTTCGAACCCTGTTTCAGTCAGTCAGTCAGTAACAACGTAGAACTTCGTACATACGTACATCAGTTCGAGTTGCCACACCACATTAGCACACAGATGCAGTGGTCGATTCAAATCCTGTAGTGGTAGAGGTAGTAAGAGTATAAACATTAGTCGGGAAGACCAGGGTTTGGAGATGTTATTTAAAGAATAAAATACAGTGAAATAAATTTAGGAAGAGAAAAAAAAGAGACAAGGAGGAATAAGGAGATCAAAATTTGGGAGAACACAAAGAATGGATGCACCTGCGCCATTGCAAACGATTTTCAGCCATGTCATTCAGGGTCTCTAACCATCGGTTGCTATCATCTTGCGGTCCCCAACCAGGTAGTCTACACCTGCCAGCATGACTCAGTCAACTTGTCAGTGATTTCATGGACTTGCGCCATGTTTTGGTTTGGCCGCCCCTAGCTTTCTTCCAACCTACTCCTATACCACTGAACATCGCACGTCGAGGCAGTTGGTCGTTGGGCATACGTAACAAGTCTCCCAGCCATCTCAACTGATGAAGTTTCACTACTTTGATTTGGAAAGTCACTACGTAATACCATTACCCATGATATAATATATGAATGACAATAGAGTAAATAAATATGTAATTGATGAGTTACAATACAATAAAAGGCATATCACTCAATTGACTTTTTTGATTTACTATTTTCATATGTCTTGATGCAATCTAACTGCCTTCACATAATAATGAATGAAAACAACGACTTAATGTATAAGCACGGCTGTTATATAAAGTAGAAAATTCATATGAACTAAGTATCATTCTACTAATTAGATTAATGTATAATGCGAATTATTTGCTAAATACAGATTAACGCATTTTGGGAATTGAATAAAAACCGTAGATACACTATCCTGGTTAATAAATATCACTCGGCTACCTAAAGTATATGAAACAAAATTTGCACGTCCCATCTAATACTAGGAAAATGAGCGTTTTAACACACAAAAACCATCGCTGCACTAATATATATACGTATCAGCCAAGTTCAATCAGGTTAAATAAAGAAAATTTTCAATGGGTTTTGGATCATTGTCAACTATATATAACAACAGATTTTACCTAGCATGTCGCTTGAAGATATACAGAAGACTATGAGGTATAGTGATTAAGAAACAACTCAGTGAATTGGAACAATGATCTGTATACTTAGAATGCAGATATTCAGAAACAAACGTTTTTCTCCACAACTTCGATTTCACTGAGCATATCATCACATGTACAAATGAAGAGCAGACGGACTATGGACGCGTATATGTATATTCACTGACCAAAGAGAATATGCCCCTGTGTGACATGCAGCTGATCGACATACTAAATACAAATTATTCAAGGTGTTATGGTTCGATTCGTTTTAATGAATAACACTGAGAAGCTGGATATAATTTTTGCTAGTGAGTTAGGTAATTACATTTCGACAAATTACTGATATACCGGAATTCAAGCTAAGCTTAACAGTCAGTGTTAAACTAATTAGCAAATGAGTGGTCGACAAAACTTATATTCTTCAGTCGGTTATAAAATCTAATCACGTTTATTTCTACATTTAACGTTTTAAAAATAACCCTTTCAGTTTACTAAAAAAGGAAACCTAGTCTAATGGCTTGTGGATTTATTTTACATTTCACTTCATGCACGGGAACCATCGCAAATAATTCACTTTTATGAGAAGTTATCAATAAGAGACATAGTTTAGTAAAGATCATCACTAGAACTCCAGTGAACTAGGTACTGACGAGCACATGATTATCTTAACTTTAGAGGGTTCATGAGGAGTTTTGAATGTTATAGTTTTTATCACAGACTGACCTTAACTAGACAGTCACTGGAAACCAGAAATATAAACCAATGGGTGCGGATTCAGTAGTCTAAAAACTATGTTCAACACGAAACCCAAAAATGTACTATTTGACCTCTAATAGTGTTATGAATGCCAGCTGCTAAGTTCCATACTAAGACTAAATAGCTATCCATTGCTTTTAGTTTTTTAATGGATCTCTAATTGAGATCACTACACAGTGATGTAAAATAATACAATTCAATAATCTACACAAATCTCTCATCATAGTAAAATATACATGTAATATGATATGAATGAACTCACTTCAAAATTAATATAATATTGTAGCTGTTGAATAAAATGTCGTATTTCTGCACCGAATAATTGTAATAAATGTAATACTAATGATAAATCAATTTGTAGACCATAACCTAAACGTGTTGCACATAATTGTTGTTTCCATAAATTGCTTAATGTAAATTCCATACGTTTAGCACGCCAAAGAAAATTAAATGAAAATAAATACATAAAACGACAATTATCAGTAAATATTGTAGCCAATGGACCATCGACATGATAATCCAATGAAAATATATCCCATCCAGTATCTTGACCTATTTCAAACAAATAAAAATGATTGTAATACATTGAGACAAAATCAGTATGAGCAAAAAGAGATGTTGATTTTTTTAACGAACTCGATAAATCTATGTGTAATTTACGCTCTATGGGACATTCGTTAACAATGGCGTAAAAGAGATTTCTATCTATAAACTCAAGAACGAGTATATTGTGTTCTAGTTCGTTTCATCCTACTTTATGAAAAACAAATGTGGCCTTCGAAAAAACTTGGAAGCCACTAGTATTTGATCAGAGATGTCTCTCTCTGGAGTTTAAAGTGATAAGCATTGTGATTGAGTCTACGTGAGAACATCAACATTTGGAAACATATACACATAGCTAAGGATTTAAATAAGAAGTAGCAGGTGACCAAGATATCCTTGTCATCCATCATTAAAAATTTAATGTTTAATATCTTATTGCGACAAAAGAACTCATTTAATTCCCGTTACTGAAGTTATTTCATCAACAAAGTGTTGATATAAGTGTCCAAATACAAATTGCTTCATTAAATCAACCAGTCACATTCAATGTAGAAACGGAAAAGTATGTTTATAGGTACAAGCTGTCATATTACATTAGCACACCAAGATAAAAAAATTTCAGAAAAAACCTCAAAGTATTAGGAATAGTAGTAAAAAAGATTAGGTATAGAAAACAGGACAAAAGGTATAAGGACATTTTGGTACTCAAGTTCTAAAGTAAGACAAGGAGTGAATGTACCTCCGTAATCGCAAACAATCCTGAGCAATTTCATCTAAAGTCTTCCATCATTGATTACGATGATCACACAGACCCCAACCTGGTATCATACACCAATTAACGTGGCTTACTTCAATTGTAAATGATTCTATGGACTGGTACCAAGTTTTAGTTTGGTCACCAAGTTTAATCAAGGCGTTATGGTCCAATTCATTTCAATGAATAACACTAACAGGGTGGTTATACTTTTTTCTAGTGAATTAGACATTGCATTTTGACCTAGCTTGCTTTCAACCTACCCCTCCGTACACCAGACAATATTGCCCGTTTAGGTAGGCGAGGTTTGGGAATACGTAATACATATCTCGACTAACTCAGTTGGTGAAGATGTACTACCTCATTAGTCAACTTCTGATATTTACCTAGTATCCTATGCTTAATCTCAGCATTGTTCTACTTGGTGGTCCCGAAATACACGAGCAATGCTGCAATGGCACCTATACTTGAACACTAGTAACCTACGGATATCCTCTACTTTTAATCACTATGTTTCACATCGATAAAGTAGAACGAAACAAACTGTTGCACAGTAAACTTGTCTTTGGTTGGTAAGCCGATATCTCGCCTACGCCTAATGTTCACTAAACTAGCTAATGCACTTTCATAAGCATCGCGTGTAAAAGTGACCGATTAGACAGTCAGACTATTGAAAGCACCACCGCTAGACACCACTACCACTAATAAATAATAATCAAAAGAAATTAGTAACAGGCTAATAACGATTATGTATACTTTCGTAATATAAATTCACAGTCGAGACTAGTTCAGTCAGTCAGTTAGAGATAATTCAGGGCCAATAACGGATATGTATTGGTCGAAGTTGTCACACACTTCATATCAGCAGATCAGAAGAAATTATCAAGATGGTAGCCAAAAGAAGGTAACTGATAAAGTTTGACTTTTAATCTCCATGTTAGATACTAATTGATGTGTTTTGTATTATCGAAAAATTGTAAAGGAAATTTTATCCTGATGGTGATAGACAATAGATTACAATTTATTTCAATTTAGTTAGGTGCAGAGATAGAAGCTGCTATGTTGTAAATTGTTGGACGTACTCCGACAAGGAAAATAACAAATAAAAGTACTTTGATGTATAGAATGGACTGCAAACAAAGTGACCGAACACAATCAACTTATGAAATTGTTAGCGTTCGGGTTTCGGTAAACTAGAAAACTATTAATCAATTGTTTGATATCATAAAAGTCCAATGAAATGACTTGGAAGAAGTAACAAAAAAGTAGTGAATAAAGCAGGCGTTAAGCCACTAGGTCGTAGGTTCGAGCCCGACTCCGCCTCGTTCTACTTGAGCAGCCGGGTAGTAATGTTTGCCATCAAGCTTACACTGTGGCCCAAAGTCAGTTACACAAATGTATAGCTGGTAAAGTTAATAATAATAAACGAATAAAATTACAACAAAGGATATCTGGATATATAGACATGAAGAACTTTGTTTGAACCAACTAACCCGTTGATATATCCAGTAAACGAACATCTAAGCGTTGAAGAATTTCCGGTTGCTCATATTGTGCATTAGTATCGCGTATAGCTGTCTCCAATATACCACTTAATCGACTAAGTAGTATTTGTGAACATGGTTTATTTAAATTTGAACTAAAAAACAGTTTGACAGAAAAAGGAAAAGTATGAAAGAGAAAACTATATATACAACGAACTTTTAAGGTGTATAAAAAGTAACGATTAATTGTGGAGAGAATGATAAACTTTGCAAGTTACATTTTCGGTAGATTAGTATTTACATTTTCATTGTGTTGATTTAAAACTTTTTGTGAGATTTGTACATACTTTAAATCATAAGCTTTCATGTGACTTATGAACCGCTGTCGTCTTGTCCTATTCCTAAATTGTTGTAAATTAATTATCAGCGTGTTATTCATATTTGTAGTGTAAATATCCCCTGGTTACGTAAATATTGCGATTGATTATTAACGATACGTTATGGTCCCGCAATTAATATAGAAAATCATGTTAGTTTTTTAAGTCATTATAAAGAGGATACATTGATTCCCTTTTCTCATCTTCTGATTGCGGATTGAAATAAAGTAAAGCAATTATTTGTGGGTCAATAAAAGAATTAACGACAACAGCAAAAGAAATACAAACAATCCTATATCTCAGAAGTAGGATTCATGAAATTTCGCTTGTGGATGGAAACTGTTTATAACCATACTCACTAACATTACAGAATTTATGTAGAGCCGGCTGAAAAATTATTTACGACTTCATTTCGACTCCGGAAGAGAGTCGCACTTCAGCTATATGGATGAATCCCTTTACAGAACCTATTTTGGATTTCCCGTTTGGTGACGTGATGATAAACATGCAAATATTTATTAATCACCTTAAAACTATTTCCCATTGTAAGTATCCTAGTTGTAGGATCCACGAATTGTCATTTGTAGACGATGACTCTACATTAATACTCATATCTTCTAGGAATAAATAGTAGTTCCCAAAAGAGCAAATTTTTTTAATAAAGGGTATTAGTTTCCTTGCTTTGCAATCTGGAACATATTCGAAATCGCCATTTCAAGAAATCTGTCCCCAATCCCGAAAAATTGCCGTACTAGAGAAACAGAGTACTTATCCAGTCGATTTCTCTACTTTTTCCTTAGTAGTATTTCCTTGTTCTGATAGCTGATTCATCAACCTCAACAAATTTACCCGTTCTACTGTGTTAGTGCTATAGGTATCATAATTTCGGAACATACTTTGTGATAGTAATGATACTACTGAACCGCACTAACTGTTGACATACCTATCCAGAACACTCTGTATTATTTTACTTTCCATTATCCAATGCAGAAATAAATGTACTAATTGTTTTAGATTCAACTTAAATCAATAAAAAGTGGACCAATTCTAATGAATTTGTTATTCCGGCATGTATGGCAACGAAATACTTTTTCATTTTCTGTCTCTGATTAGTCAGTACTATTTTCCTCTCCGCATTGGCAGTTAAATATTTTTCTAAATAGTCTACAACTTTGTAAGCGATTTTTAACGTTTTCATCATAGAATTCATTTATCAGGATCTTTAATGGTATTTTTATCAAGTTATCATCTATGGGGGTTTGAAGTATAGACTAAAATCCAATATAATCCATCTTTGATGTGATCGTCAATATACTTTACTTCGGCCTACTTAACTTATCAGATTACTAAGTCGAAATATCAGTATTATTGTTATAAGTACAATAGAGCAACATCATGTCAAAGACATTATTAGTTTTAAATGAAAAACTAATAAGTGTAAATTTACAGTCTTGTTGTGTTAGTATAAAGAACAATAATACAGAATAATATTATCTAGAACTTACTCTAACAAATCCATGAGATGTTGAATAAAATCCCCTTGTCCTAAGAGTAAAAATTGTCTTGTAGCCTGGAAGATTTAATAATAATTATTATTATAACGAAGACAAATTAGATCATAGTACAAGCGAGTCATAATTAGTACATTAATTTACATTAAAATAACTCATTCACTAGGTACTTGGGTATAAGCTACACTCTAAGTGTGAAGCCAAACCATACTGTCCGGTTATTTAAACCGAAGTAGGTGAATCGGGGTTCGAACCTGAGATCAAGTACAATACATTGATTGTGTGAGTAACCTATGTCTAATCTTCAATATTGATTGAAATGTATCGATCGGGTTGCAATGTGATGAAATGTCCAATATATTAAATTTTCTGGTTTAATTCATAACTGTTAGTATTGATATGATATACCGATAAGTTTGACCATATGATCAAATTGTTATTTACGTTAGCGTTCGGTCTTTACCTCGTTAAGCTAGAGCAACTCATATGATCAACAATATTCACAAGTTTGTTCATCATATCCAACAAAAGATACTAATGATATAAACTCAACTTTAGTCCATATCCAATGATAAACAGTTGGATTCATACATATGTGAGAAAATTTAGTATTTACTACAAATCATAAGTCCAATAAAATTTTTGTATATTTAACTGAGCCTCGTGGAAGATGTTTTTCTATAAAACGGTTGTCAATAATACTACAAGCAAGATGCAAATACCAGTAATTGAGAAAACTAAAGGTGTTAATAATTAACCCAATGTGCTCCATTGAATTTGGAATAAAAATAATATAAACTAATCAATGTAGCATAACAACTGATGAATAAATGTTCGCCAATTATACTTACTCTTAAATGATCTAGAAAATGATAACGTCCTATTAATGTTTCTAATAAATGTTGACTAGTTTGTTTATATACAGTAGATATCATTTGATCAAATGATTGATCCAAATCTTGTTCAAACATGGATTCAACTATAATGGAAAAAGAAAATACATTTTAATAAATACACTTATTATTAATTCATTAGATTCGTGTAGTTGACTTTGAGTCACAGTCTAAATCTCAGGATCAATGACATTAATCAAGTACCCAAACGGATGTATGCAAAGTACCAGTCAAAGCTGAAACTTCGTGACTGAGAGTGAAACCCCTTAACAACTGAGCCACCACTACAACTCAGGGAACATAGAGATTACATAAAAATTTAATTGTTGACAGGTTTTAAAGCAATCTGCAAAATATTCAGCTGTAAAAATCAAAGTTGAGTGAACTAGTGATTTAATGATATAGAGGTTACAGCACAAATGACTTCTATATTTACATTTGCTATTGCTAAATATGAAAATTCTTTCGATAAAATTCCGACAAGAATCATTCAACAAAACATCTGTCTTTTAAATTTAAAATAATGTATATGAAGCTGAAACCATTTATTTTTAGTAAATGATTTTCAAAAACATCTCGAGATCCTCTATAAATATCAAAGCATTGTACTATATGCCCACAAATGCCCTGGTACGATCGAGAGTAGGGAGAGTCAGCTCTCCCTCTTGAAATGCTCACATACGGCCATGCGTATACAGCCACTGTGAGGGACGTCCTACAAACAGCTTTCTTGCGGTTTTTACGAAAATGAGAGGACGAAAAGTGAATGTCCGGCACTTTAACTGGGTTGGTGGATACGGAGGATCCACCTAGAGGAGTTGGAAAACACTGATTCCAAATCAATGGTGTACATGGGCTCCAGGATCCTGAGGGAACAAAAGACGTATGAAACATGAAACTATTGTTGGTCACCGGCTACCATGGGACTGAATCTCCTTATGTTGCTCCGTTGCCTTGTGGATTGGATCTTTAGGCCAAAGGCTCCAAGTGTGGGCCCTTAAGAAACCACCTGTTTCGGTTTGGGCACGTTGACAGTATCATAGCCCACACACAAGTCAAGTGATAGTTACTACTGGAAAATTACCCTTGTCTCATTCAGATAAATCAATATTCACAACCGTTTGATAACATTCGTTTTTATTTCTTTTATACTACGTCCCTTATGTATTCCCTTTTATTTTTATTTTGAGTATTTTATTTCTTAACTCATACAGCAGTCCGACTATGGTGAAAACCCAGTCCTATCTAAATGATCTCAAGTCACTGGCTGATCGAAAGCTGAATGCTAGAACGACTACGATATTGTAGTATTAGCTAAAGACTTGAATGCACAGGTCCGGCGTCTAGGTAAATAGGGACTTGCTGGTCGCAGATCAGATAACGGTGACTGTCTACTGCAACTCTTCGCAGACCAAAGCTTGTTCCTGGTTAGCACTAACTACCGATACAGTTATCACCGATGTGCTAGCTGGCGTCCTCCCTCTGCATCTCAGATCTGGACTCAAATTGATCATATTGCGATCAGCTACCAATCCAAAAACTAACCGATAATATAGCTTTTTACTTGAGTAAGAAAAAATGTCGATTAACAAGATGATTTATAAAGTTAATAGAACACATATAAGCGAAGAATTGTGTATACAATGAAGTCATCAACAAAAAGTACGGCAGTATTTATATGTAAATGTGAGAGATATTATAAGCAAGGTACTTAGTGAGTGAATAATAACAATGAAGAGGATCACATAACTAATTACAGCAAGTCATAATTATAGATTACTATTAAGGTAGGTAATAGGCATAGTAATAAATCTAAGAATAATAAACAGTATGATAACGTGACCAAATATATTGATATAGAAAGTAGGTCAATTGTTGAAAATAGTAAACTTTTTTAATAACTATTAATAACTATTAAGAATAATATGTGAATAGTCAGCTTGAGTACGCAGATGTTAAGAAAACAAGCAAACAAAGGGTAGAAAGGATTAATAGTATCATCTGTTCAAAGAAACGAACAGAGATATTACAAACGTTTTGTAGAACATGGGAAGTAGGATTACTAGTCTAGATTCCTTCGGCTTCTGATATGCGTAACACGAGAATGGATTGAACTTGAAAATTGTGACGGAATTTAATAAACTACTCTGAGTCTTTTAGTCCTATTTACTATTTGACCACTATAGACTAAATATGATAGGATGGATCTGAGGATTAATTATTTCTGGCTTTCCAAACTACAAAGGGCGATGCTCGTTAATTCATTAGCAAAATTTTTTGGTCATATGTAAGATGAAGCAGCTGAATCGATAGTCAAAAATAGATGTGGCAAAACTAAGTAATTTATCTTTTATACGATGAAAATATTTCTGGACCAGTACGAAAGTGAACTGTTTGCATATATACTAACCATTATTCGATTAGAATCATTTATTTTAGTCATCAGATTTCAAGCTCGTATTATCATCTCGTTTAATAGCCAGTTTGTAACAAAAAGAATATATGGTCTAAATCCCGTTTCACTTACTTCGGGTGAGATTATTTGCAAGGTTTTCAACATCCAATAAGTGTGACATACTTAGCACTTTTGGTTATTGTTCCATTAAATAAACAGATAAGTGGTGTGTACTACAGTGTAATTTTCATTGAACGATTAATTCGAGACCATAGCTGTTAGTATAACTGTTTCCCATAATTGGGTTACATTGTACATGCTCATAGAAAATAATTTTACATAGCTTTAAACCCTACTTCAGGCCTAGTAGTTGGATCACTAATATTGCCTCTAACCAACAGGTCGCAAGTCCGAGCGATGCTCCATCTAATTTACTTCAGGTAGCTCCACATACACAAAAAGTATGTGGCTCAAAAGTGAGTAAGTAAACCCACGTATTCAGCACATGAGTTGCATACATTTTGGCGCATGAAAAGAGTATGATTTTCCCAATACCCAAATGTATAAATGGAGGTAAAAGGATGATTTACTGAGAAACCAATCAGGTCTAAGACAGTAACTACTAGTTTTTTGAGCAATATCAGAACTTGATGACGGATAGCTTATATCTGAATTAAAAATACCAATATTCACTTACTAAGATGCTTAAAATCGATAAAAATGAGAATAAAGATATGGAACTATGATTTATGAATTTTCAAAGGTAACCAAAAGGTTTTTAATGTTTAAAATTAAATCGCTGACTACATAAGTATTCATTAATATAACCACAAAGTATTCTCAAAAACTATTCCTAACAATTACTCCTAGCCTGGAATTTCAAGCACAACTTCTAACTTCAACTCCTAAATCTAATCTTGCTTGGGTTACTACGCGACGAATAATTCATTTACATCACATGCATTCTGATTGGCTAAAAAGTCGGCTTTACTTTCTCATGGTCACTGTAAGAGTCACGAAATGTCGCTAGTAAAGCATAGTCACACCCAAATATGTATACATAATTACCAACGTGCAACCGTTTTTATATCACATCTTGTAAATTTTGTAAATATGCATATTTTGAGCATGAAACAAATGGAATTGACCAGCCAGAGTAAAGATAGCGATTGTTGAGTTACGCGCGATTTTTAAAACGGATTTACGGATAGCTCACCACCGTGTATGAAGTACTTGACAAGATTTCTAATTTAGCTTATTTGGAAGGTTATATGATCGTACATCATCAATAAAATGTTGGACTATCGGGAAGCCTTTTATGTAGCTATGGTCCGGAGATGACATCTAGAGAAGGCATGGAGTTCAGAGATGAAGTTGCTTCTGAGTACTAGGGTTACGAATATAAGGTTTAAGATACTTGTGAAGTTTATGACTTACCTTGTCAGGTAAGTCACAGCAATATGGAAGTTAGTTAACACTAACTTAATAGAATATTAACCCCGTATGAAGATTTCCACAAAACACAATTACAACATATTTCTAATACATTCACTTCGGAATTAAAATAGTTTATTAAGGAAGAGTTTATCGAAAATTATTACTGAGTGAATCACTAGTTTTAGAGTAAATGCATTTTTGTTATGGAATTATCAGTATATGACATAATGGAGCAAAAAACTTAAGTTTAATTTTATTACTTTACTGGATACATAAATGTTACTGGGGTTTCTTACACAAAACATATACTACTGACAAACTAGTAGACGGAAGGAAGAGCAACAACTAGCTAACCTATTCAGGAACAGATGGATATGGGAGTGCCTAGCAAACCTTCAAGCGAGATCCAAGTGGTTGAACATGAGAAGAAATATACAACCGGGAGATTTAGTGTTAGTAAACAATATTGGCTCACCGAGAAATCAGTAGCCGAAAGCTACAGTTAGACAAGTCAATTATGGTTCAGATGGACAAGTCAGAACAGTTCGGCTGAAGACAACGATCGAAGAGATCAGACGGGATATACGAAATCTGACTGTCAGAAGAAGCCGATTATTTGAACGCAACAGTGGCGAAGCCTGAAAGTGGTGTCCACTTGGGAGAAATGTTAGTTATTTCCATAACTAACCAATCAAATTGTTACTTAAACGCCCACCACGTCTACCTGGCCTGATGTTTCTGTAGAATCTTCCTATTACATGTGACCTACCAATTGAAGGACATTATTATCCTATCATATCAGTGTGACTGCAACTAATATTTTTTTATTCATTTCGGTCAGGCACGCAATACTGGTTAGTATGCTGTGCGTTTCACTTGATGACTAAGATTCCTTTCATTATTGTACCAATCGAATTGTTTCTTAACATTTCGAAACAGATAAAGTTTACAGCCAAGTTGTCCTTGTTCTGACTGTAGCTTTTACGTAGGCTCTGGGTCGTCAGTATCGCGTTTACAATTCCGGTAGAATATCTGTAGAACAAATTAAATCATACACTCATTACATTCACATAATTATTAGATTTCTCTTGGAAGTAAGAGAGATAAAGTGGGCATCTAAGGCTTGAGATCAGGTTGATAAATGCACCAAGTTAAACAACGCAAGTCGGGAAACTATACTTTTAAACAAATGATACATATGAAATCCAGGACCCCAAAGTAACAAGTCGTACACGAAACAACTGTAGTCACCTC